ATGTTTTTTGAAGCTTTTGCTGACTCCCATGACAGTATGATATTCTTCGTACTTGATCTTGTATTTGGTCAGTTGAGTGCTCTATTTTTTAGCTTTTTCTTAATGAATCGCTACAGCATTGTAATGTAGAGCAGTTACCGATTATTGAAATAAAGAGGAAAAACATAATTATTCAGCATGCACAATTTACATTTCTGAATTTGACTTCTTTTCACTTGATATTGTAAGTGGGAGACGCGGTGCCCCAGTTCTGACCGCGTTAGACTCAAGAGCTCTGGGAAGGATCTCAGGTATGCCTTCTCCGCCGTCTCATGCCTTTCACTGCTACACTCCACTTATGGAAATCAATGAGTACCACGAGGCTTTCGGGGAAACCTATCGAAATGAATCGGACTCCTGACCATGAGGAGTGGCAATACTCACTTTATGGTAGAGAAACCCGACAGAATTTTTACCCTTTAACCCCGAAGAGTGACCAGCGTCTAATTTCTCCTTACAATGTTACCCCCAAATCACACATTGAGGTCATGAGAATAAAGGAAATGGTCACCAACCAGAGTAGCTGCGGATTATAAAACAAATTCTCCTCATCAGCACCTAAGAGGTTATATATGGAACAGTATGGAGAATATGCATACTGATGTTAGGGTAGAAAGGGTTAAGCGGCGTTACGTGTTACAACAGGTCTACGTATAAACTGAGTCTCTGCAACAGCTCGGCTAAATTTCGTCTCCATAAAGATTTTCAAATTAATGATCAAAGTTTTTAAAAAGTTTTCAAGCATCAGAGGCTTTAAAGGATAATTTTTTTAGCAACCAGCAAGGCGTGTTACAATGAAAAGGGTAAGTTTCTAAAGAAACTGTGGTGCTGCGTCGGTTGGGAGTACAACAAAATAATTTGGTTGAGTTCTAAAACTGACATTTTGAGGGTTAGCCCTTTGTCAGAGAGAAACTGGATACGAGTTCACCATAACGTCACAAAGTTATTCCTCATCGGAGGTAGCTCAATCTCGTATGTGGGCTCCCGTAAGTATCTAAATATGGTTATGTTGTGCAAAAGGAAAAACCGCAAGAGTTAATTTGGGGGCAAACAGTCTCATTTTAAAATTCAACCCAAAACTCTGAACTAGTTTTGAATTTAAAAAAAAAAAGACCTCGTTTTTGTGTTGGTTCCTTTAAATCTTGTGCTTTTAGAAGGGTCAGGTATCGTATTACTGCTTAGCTCTTTTATTGAGTTCCTGTGGTTTTCATCCTAGAGGAGCATTGTATCGGCAAGGAAAAATCTTCTCTAAAAGATAAAGATTGCGAGTATTACACATTTCTCTGGGTCATGTCCTGCCCCTGAGAGGTAAATTCGGGTATGAGAATGACTTTTAGAGAAACATCCTCGTCAATAACCCCAA